AAGCTTCCCAAACAACAAGATCCGAAGCAACAGCCACGAACATCAGTTCAAGCGTTCAACAACCGCAACCATGACTACGACAGAGAGCATAGTCAAGCTGACCGGCCCGGAGAGTTGGAAGGAGTGGAACCTGCGCTTCATCAACATGGCGCAGGATAACCAGCTCTGGGACCTTTTCGACCCCGCAAGCGCCTCCAAGGGTGACTTCATGGAGCGACCGATTGAACCCAAATTCGCGGACTACCCAAAGCTCCTGGATTCGCCCGCCTCGAGCACGCGCACTGCAAGTGCCACGCTCGGCGGCACCCCAGAGCTCGTCGACACGGAAGGAACACCTCGCAACCTTTCAGAAATGACAACGACTGGGAAGGAGTAATACCGCCAAGATGTCGCCAACTTCCAGTTCAACTGGCGGCGATACGAGACCCAAGACCAAAGAATCGGCAACGTGAGCAACTGGGTCCGGAAAACCGTCGCTAGCCATATCCACAACACACCTGCGCGATCCAAGAAGCGCCGGACTAGCGATAGTTCAACATCTGCCTGCCCTGCATGCGATAATAAACACACCCTCGAGGAATGCTGGGCAGCCCGCCCAGAGATTCGACCCAATCATCGGTTTCCGTCTCGGACTGCTGAAGCACGCGCTCAGGAGCGTGTAAAGCACGACTCAGAGCTCCGCAGGCAGGTTGAACGGTTGCGGAAGCGCGTCAAGAAGGAGGATTCGGGCTCCAAAGCGCCTGCTAAAAGCGCCCTCAAGGAGAGTAACTCGCAAACACGCTCTGAAGAAGAACATTGACTAGCCGAGACGCCAGCAAAGGTTAGCGCCTGCCTCCTGACCATCGCAGCGGCATTCGCAGGAGGCAAGTACCCTCTCAAGAACTCCACAATTCTCGACTCGGGCGCCACAACCCACGTTTGTAACCAGATCAGCCGCTTCAACCACTACCGTACTGCTCCCAACGAGCAACACCTCTGGGCAGGAGAAGGAAGGCTTCGCATTCAAGGATTCGGCGACATCGACATTTGTTTGAAGACCCCACTCGGCGGCAAGCAATTGCTTCACTTGAAGAGTGTGGCATACGTTCCTGAGTTCGCCACAAGCGTCGCGTCGCTCAGAAGACTTCGAGAGCAGGGTATCCAGTGGGACACACGGCCTCGGACAACGCTCCTCAGAAACCCAGACGGCACCATGCTCGGCATCGTGGAGGATCACTACGACCAATTTGTGCTTGAGTACATCCTTGAAGATCTGGACGCGCCGCGTTCTTCACACGCCGCAACCAGTTCAATTCGTGGACCCAGAGGCGCCCGCGCAAGGCGGAAGCATATCTCTGGCATCTGCGCCTCGGCCATCCTGGACCTGGAGCTCTCGAGCACCTAGTCAACAGCACTCGAGGTGTTAGGATCAAGGGGATCACCACAACCGAGTGCGACTCATGTGCAAAAGGCAAAATGCACCGCCAAGAGAACCGCACGCCGCGAGATATCGTAGACTTCCGCCCAGGCGAGAAGCTCGCTCTCGACTTCCACAAGTTCGAACCGGATGAGGCAGGCTACACCACACTTTTGTTGCACGTCGACCGGGTCTCAGGTTACATGTGGGACTTCTACATGCAGGAACCAACTACAGACATGGTTATCACCGCGCTCCACGAGCTCCTCGGCATCCTCGAGCGCCAGTACGAAGTCAAGGTAAAAGCTATCGAGAGCGACAACGAGATTATCTCGAAACTCTCAGGTGTAAAGAGCTACTTGGATAACAGGCACATTCGCACCGAACCATCCCCAGGAGACACCCAAGCTCTCAACGGTGCAGCCGAACGCTCGTGGAGGACAGTGAAGGAGCAAATCATCGCAATGCGAGACAGCGCGAAGTTCCCGAACGCTCTATGGAGAGAGATCTGCAAGGCCGCAGTCTACCTACTCAACCGTACGCCACGGAAGCGTCTCGGATGGAAAACGCCGTACGAGGTCTTCCACTCGAAGGGAGATGCGCGCCGAAAGCCCGACTTGACCACCTTGCGAGCTTACGGCTGCAAAGCATATGCGATGACGACTACAGCAATGCGAAAGGAGCAGCGCCTCAAGCGCTTCAATCCAAAAGCATGGATCGGATACCTCGTTGGTTATACTTCGTCCAACACGTACCGCATCTGGAACCCCGTGCTCAACAAGGTTGTGATCATGCGAGATGTGATCTTCAACGAAGAAGAAACGTTCAGCGGCGCGCTTGAAGAGCTCCGGGACGATATCCGAGAGCTCGATCTAGATGAGTTGTCCACCCTTTTGCAAGAATACGCTCTCCCAGAGGCAGCTGAAGAGCAGGATAACCCAGCGCTCGCACCTCGGGGGGTGGAGGAAGCCCTCCTGGACTCAGCAGAAGAGATCCACAATTCAATCATAGTTCGTACAGCCTCTGACCCGCAAACCGGTCAAGCCGTCGAACCAGTCTCCCACGCAGGCACAGCCTCTCGCCCGCAAACCGGCCAAGCTGTGGAACCAACCTCTCGCGGCTCTGAATCCATCCGCCAAGTTGAGGGAGCCTCTCGCCTGCAAACCGGCCAAGCTCCGGGAAGCTCTCGCGATGACGATCGCCACCTTCCCACTCCTGCAGAAGCTCGCACAGCTTCAGAATTCACGATGGCTCCCACAGCCAGCCAAAACGCTAGTGAGTCGGTGGGAAAGCTCTATACCGAGGCGCGGTTTGAGCCTTTTCCCACGCCACCTCCTTCTCCACCAGCTGCTCTGTTGGCTGCAGTGTTGATTGGGTCCGCGCACCGAATGGACATGGGGCTCTGTCCAGGAGGAACGTTTGGGAATGCCAGAGAGGCGCTCTCGCAGGGTTCAGTTACTGTTCAACACGGTGCGTTCCATGCAGACGTAGCTCCTGGGTCTCCCGCCGTGCACACGAGGACGACTCCCGTGCAAGCGAGGATGTCTCCCGCGGACTGTTGGAAAGGCGCTTTCTATGCCGGCATGAGAGCGACGGTGGTAAAGACCGAGCAAGGCAAACACATTACGAAGGCAGCTGTTGAGTGCCGTCTGAAGACCGGAGAAAAGCTCCACCGCAAAGAACTGCCCGAGCCGCCAAACAGGCATGAAGAGCTCGACGACCACCCACTTGGTGAGCTATTCAAGAAAGCAGAACTTGACCACTTGCAGGAGCACGAGAAGATGCACTCGTGGATCGAGATTCTGACGCGTGACCCACGCGCGAAAGGGCATAAGATCCTTGGATGTCGATGGGTATATGTGTACAAATTTGACAAGCATGGCAGATTCGTCAAGGCAAAAGCGCGCCTGGTTGTCAGGGGCGATCAACAACTTCGAGGCGCTCACGAGAACACCTACGCCGCAACGCTCGCCGGAAGATCATTCAGGGCTATCATGGCAATCGCCGCGCGTTTCGACCTCGAGCTCCTCCAGTTCGACGCAGTCAACGCTTTCGTCAACGCCGAACTCGACGAGGATGTCTTCATGCGCATGCCACCAGGGCACAGACGCGCGGGATGGATCCTGAAACTCAACAAGGCACTCTACGGACTACGCCGCTCACCGCTTCTTTGGCAACGAGAACTCACGCAAGCGCTTAAGGCGCTCAGATACGCGCCTGCGCCTCACGAGCCGTGCGCTTACACCAGAAACGGCATCATCATCTTCTTCTACGTCGACGACATCGTCATCATGTTCAAGAACGCCAAACGCAAAGAAGCGCTCGACACCGTTGAACAGCTGCGGAATCGCTACCAGCTCACTGGGGGAGACGAACTGCAGTGGTTCTTGGGCATCGAGGTCATCAGAGACCGTCGGAGGCGCCTGATTTGGCTCTCTCAGTCCTCGTACATCGAGAAGATTGCGGCATTGGCACAGTCAAAGCTAACTGCGCGCGCTCCAATGACAAAGGAAGAACTCCAGCCATTCGAAGGCATTGCCACCACGCGCGAAATCACAGTCTACCTTCGGAAGATCGGTTCCCTGCTCTACGCAGCCGTCATCACGCGCCCTGATATCGCATTTGCCACCTCACGGCTCGCGCGCTTCACCACAAAACCCAGGGCCAGAACACCAGAAGGCCGCAGACCGGGTGCTTCAGTACTTGGGCCAAACCAGCACCCTCGCTCTTCAGTTGGGAGGTGCGGATGACCTGCGCATCGCCAGTGACTCGTCACACGCCGACAACACGCTAGATCGCAAGAGCAGTCAAGGATACGCGATCAAGTTCTTCGGCGGCCTCATCGCATGGCGTGCCAACAAACAAGACACCGTCACCACGTCCACCACCGAAGCGGAACTTCTCGCACTCTCGCAAGCAGCCAAGGAAGGCCTCTACATCAACCGTATGATCCGAGAGCTAGGAATCAAGCTCGATACGCCGCGTATCACCATTGAGTGCGACAATAAACAGACGATCCGCCTTGTGACGGAGGAGCTCGCGAAGCTGAAAACTGGCCTGCGGCACGTGGACATCCACAACCACTGGTTGCGTCAGGAATACTCGCGTGGGAAGATCGACGTGGTATACACGGAAAGCGCCAAGATGATGGCCGACGGCCTTACGAAGGCGCTGGTGCAAGGAACGTTTGAAAGCTTCAGAGAGCAGATGGGACTGGTTGACGTGCGAGAGCAGCTCGCAGAGCGCAGGAAGAAGGAAAACAATGTCGATTAAATTTGTTCGGAAGGATGGAACAGCCAGTCTCGCCCTCGCGGGCTCAACTGGGGGGGTGTGTTGGAAAGTCGTGGCACTGGAACTTCGGACGCT